AAGAGTATATTTGCACTGTGGAACATGATTTTTTGTCAACGACATACTAATTCGGAAAATTTATGTGTGCAACTGTACAGCAGATCACCATCCAATTTGATTAATACGTTTATCAGTTTACATCACATCCAACGTTCATCTCATGAAACAACAACGTAAATGCATAGAAAACACAGAGTAAAGATAAAATTACCGCAGAAAAGAAAATCGCCATTACTGTAGCCAGTTAGATTGTCACCGGTGATGAGAAATTGGGATGTCAATGTACAGGTTTCTTAAGGACTGACTGTTAAAAGTCATAAATATGACTCTATTCATTTCATTCATAGAAAATATCGGACCTGCTGTTATAAAATCGATATTAATTCAATGTTTCATGGAAAACTGTTCAAATCGATCATAAAATAATATACCAAACCTATATTTTAATAAAAACGTCACCTATATTAATGCCGGTTTTAAATTTAATCCCACGGTTGCCATGCAAGATATGTTCACATTTTGCAAGAGATGGACAGAGAACAAGCTGAAAAGGGCTATTTTTGTGTTATCAGGGGTCATAATCCAGGAAGATACGGTCCGATGCACGAATATCCAAAGGAACCAAGTTCTTTTAGATATAAACATATATTTTAATTTTCATCAAGATCGGATAAACTTCTAGAGGGTCCACAACTTTGGTATTGCATACTTTTACATTATCTGCGTACAAGTAGCAGCCATTTTGTCGGGTGATATATTTAAAGTAGCTAAGTCTCTAACTCAATATCATTCAAAGTCTTCGACACTGAAAACACGGATGATTTGTCAATTTAAATCAGCATTGATGTGATTTTACCGGTAAAAATGTCAAACAGTCACGTCATATTCTAATCTGGAGAGCATACGCAACAGATACTATTGATGTAGATTAGATTAACCAGACGATTGAGAGAGAGAAATGGGGTTTAACGTCCACTCGACACAAACTAGGTCATTTCGGGACTAACACATGGTTCAATTTTATTTCAATAATTCGCTTGCGCGTAGGGGTCTTTAGCAGTGGGAGGAAACCGGAGGACCCGGGGAAAACCCACGAGGTCGGACAGGCGACCTATATCCTTGTCACGTACAACCGGGGAATCGAAACCCCACCAGTTGACTCAATGACAGACCGTATGATACAGTGCGCGCATGCTAACCATTCGGCCATCCAACCCCAGACGATTGAGACTTCCGGTGTATTTCTGCGAAAATAACTGATTTAAAAATCAGTTTATATACATTACATTATTTTATGCCTTGTGACTCATTTGTGTCAATTTCAAGGTCCCAAATATTAGTGATTTTAAAAAAAATTAAATAAAAATGGTGAACTCTAGTTCCACAAGCTAAAACACGCGATTTTTCGTTCAATCAGGGGTCACAATCCAGGCAGTACGTTCCGATATGCGCGATTATCGAAAGGAACCGAGATCTTTGTGTAATAAACATAAAGTTTCACCCAAATTGGATCAAAATTGTGACCTCTAGAGGGTCCACAACCTTGATGTACTATATTATTTCACTATTTGCTAATGGAGGAGCTGCAATTTTGTCCGGCAGTTTCGGTCCGATTTTCACGAAATTCGAACCCAGCCGTCATTATGATGTAACGTTAAAATATTCGAAAGGTTTTCTAAATTGTGGCCTCTAGAGGGACCACAAGCTAAACACGCGATTTTTCATACAATCGGGGGTCATGGTCCAGGAAGTTACGATCCGATATGGGTCTTTAGCAGTCGGAGGAAACCGGAGAAAACCCACGAGGTTGGACAGGCGACCCTACTCCTTGTCACGTACAACCAATTGACTCAATGACAGGCCTTATGATACAGCGCTTACGTGCTAACCATTCGGCCATTCAACCCCCCTTTATACTCTGGCATGAAACTGCCATGATAAGTGAATAATAAATAACAAGTTATGTCCATTTCATAATAATAATAATTGATTTATATTATAGCGCCAACAATTCAACTCAGCGAGCTGCTCTCGGGAGGTTTACATAAGTACAACTAATATAAAATTACAACAATCACCACAACACATTAATCCATAAAAGACATAAACAAAAAACGGAGAACATTATTTATTACACATGTTCAAAGTCTGACACAAACACAGCTAGAACCGTATTCAATCAGTTGTATATTTGATTAAAAAGTTCGGTTTTGAGATACTTTTAATAGAATTTGATATTGAATTCCATAACTTCGGAGCACTGACGGCGAAAGATCTATCACCGGAGTTGCTTTTTGAAAAAAGGCATAATTAAGAGGCTGTCTGATTGTGATCGGAGGGTTCTGCAAGGTTTATTGGTGTTGAAAAGGTCTCTAAAGTATTGAGGTGAAGAATCGCCATTTAGAGCAAATTGAGAATACGTAATAGACAGTATTTTGAAATTGATACGTTGGCGGACTCGAAGCCATTGTAGATCTTTCAGAATTGGTGTCATATGTTCATTTGGTTTCGTGTTGATTATGATCCGGGCTGCTTTATTTTGAAGTTTCTGAAGTCGTTTGATTTTATTTTCAGGTAGATTGTACAAAAAAGAATTACAGTAGTCGAGTCTTGATGTAACCATAGTGTTGACCAGCATTTTAGTCGTGTCACTATTAATGAAAGATCTAATTTTTCCAATATTATAAATCTGAAAATTAATACTTTTACACATGGTCGAAATTTGTCTATTCATGTCCAGATGAGAGTCAAAATAAACACCAAGATTTTTTTTTTACAGAATCTGTTTGTGCAATATAGATATTGCCAATTTGATAGTTTTCTGTTTTAGATTTTAGTAGTTGCTGCCTGCTTCCGACTTTCATATGTATTACCATTGTGTTTATATATCTATTTAACACTATATTTCACCGCTATAGACTTTATAATACACTACATGACGACGGTACATTTCATATTTCCTCGACAGTAGAAAATACACAACAGTCGATATATTCAAGCTGTCGCTATACTGCCATTTTTATAATCTCGTTACATACTTTATATCAGTATCAGGCCCGCGGACGGCAAACGGGCGCCCAGATTTCGGAATGGTATATCCTGTGTCTACGAGCCTGATTAGTATGTTAATTTTATCTACCTGTGTCAAGAAAAAAAATGTTTAAACCCAGAAAATTAACTATTTATTAAAAATTTCAGCGAGTATTTTTATCGTCCACAGTTAGTCAACGCAAATGTGCCGTTTCTCAATCAGTCCCTTACCTACAATAAACCAAGAGACCGCATTCGCCAAGTGTAAAGAATTTATCTACAACTGGGTATAAGCAGGTATTTATTGTTATAAAGGTCAACACACAAACTGATTACTCTAGCATTTTATCTCCTGTAACATCAGACAGAATGAAGATTAATTGAACAAAGCGCCTACCCATCAATAAACAAAACATGTGATTACTGATTACAAAATATGACATTTTCTTCCACATGGCTAGACTATCACAGTTATATTTTAAAGATTGCCCTTCATTATCTAGATATTTACCGACTACTTGTAAATGTTACTGATATTACAAGATCTTGATACAATGGATATTGTTTACCTTCCTACAATAATAGTGTAATGTCTTTTTCCTAAACAATCAAATGTACGAAAAAAACGGCCAAACAACGAATATAAGATTATCATCAGCATTGTGAAGACTGGCTTTAAAGTTCAGCAGACTGGGGACAAACTTCTTATCCCCGGTCCTGGTCCGATTATAGACGGATGGATGACCTCTCCAACATGGTGCGAAATTGTTTTGAAAAAATTACTAAATATTGCTTTCTAGAGTATATCCCGGCGTTTCGAGATTATGCACAAATTTAGCGTCTGGCAATTTTACTAATTCATCAAAAACGATATGTGGGCCCCAGTGGCTCGGTAAGACGTTGCCTCGTTAACCAGGATGTCGCGTGTTTGATCCCAATGTTGACAGAAATTTTATCAGGATTTTCTGGTGTGTACAGAGGCCCTGGTAAGGAACAACGTATAGTCGTTCGGATGGGACAAAAAAGAGGTCCAGTGTACACATTGCGCAGGTAAAAAAAAAATCCTTTCAAATACAACGTAAATTCCAGAGTAAAAAGCCCTAAACTATGTGAGGATATGAACTGCTTTAGGTTCGCCGCGCCTACAATACTCGCAGGCTCCTCAGTCCATCCCTGAACAGACAAAGTGAACACTAATCGCGCCGAGTCCGTGTATGTTTTAATGGCTTGTCAAATAGCTTTCCACCCACATCGTACATCTTTGCGTCCTTATTTATCACTTATGTTAATCACATTAGTAAGTATTCATAATTGTAAGCATGTCAATGTCTGGGATATCACTTGGGTGTAACTGAACGTTAAATGAAGATGTTTTGCACACAGGTATCCAGAATTTTTATATGCTGGAGCAAGATCAGTTTTGAGCGGTATGGCAGCACCCCCGTCCCCTCTCCTTGGGACTGGATCTCCACATCTGCGTGGTAGTTTTATAGTGCAGTAGGCATGCAGGTCTCCACTAAGTGTGTTTACAGTAGACAACCCGCGTGCATGTACCTACGTGATTAGACTACTATGTATAGTGGTAGTACTTGACAGTATCTATTGATCTGACAGCTGTGCTCAGTTTAATTTATCACATAACTTTCATAAATCTTTACAATCAACAAACTATTTTAAAGCAATTTATGTTTTATTTATCATTTATACAAAATATTTACATTTGAAGCCCCAGGCAAAGGAATGACTATGATACAAATTGATGTGTTGTGATATTTATATATACATTATGTTAAGTTTCATGACTGTTTACAACTAAAAAAGGTGAATTAAAGTTCAAACAAGTTCTGTAGTTTTCAACTTTTGTAAAATATTTGTCAAGCTTCACAATAATTTAGCATGTTTAAAATGATTTTAATAATAGAATATAGTTTAAAAGTATTTTCTTTATGACGGCTGAGTAGAAAGGTTTTATCAGTTTCATTCAAATATTTGTTTTTATTTAGAAAGCATATCTTGTACGAATATCTTCTAATTTCTTTGATACCTGAAAAATAAAGAGTTCAATAAATAATTTTGATGGCAAGGCATAAATCGCATGTACATGTAGTTTCATACATGATGTATAAAAATAGATTTAATGAAGGTTGTATCACAGACATCGTATGAACAGGCAGCAAATTGGATTTCTCTAAATTAGAATAACATAAATTTTAGCCTGGGCCTTATATCATAACCTACTCAACTCTCCCTCCCCCACCCCCCAAAAAAAACACCACCACAAGATACTGGTTTACTTTATACCTCAGCTGGTGTACGATCCAATTCTTCAGCCATACTTTTCTGTTTACTGGTTTCCATAGAATTAAACATTTCACATAAATCACCATCTATAACACTCTGTAATAATGAAGTATTGTATTAAGTGTATTATAAAATTAAGTGAGAATTTCCTTAACTGAGCACCACTTTAATTCATATAGGAAGGCACTTGACAGACAAGGAAAATGATAAAAAAAAAAATTGCAATGAGTTACGCAGCAACCTAGTGTCTCGCCTCTACTTGACTAATTTCCAGAAAGGCTAAAATTGAAATGTTCCCAGATACATCCAATTCTTATCCTCCTTGCCTTTATTTTTTTAAAAAAAGGAGAATAAGCATCTATCAAACTATCTTGTTTATGTTACTGTAAGAGAAAAAGGTGGATTAATTTTATTTTCTTAAGTTTATGTTTAGTTAATAAGAATCAAGGTCGAACTTTCCTAATACCAGGTATGTAAAATAACTTCATTTAAGAGTGAGCTGGGCTTGCTGAAGTATTATTTTTGTCAAAGTCAATGGTGTGAAATCAATAGAAACCAATGTGAACTAGAAATGGCCATAACTTTAGAACTGATTGATTTTAAGAAATATTGGACCAAAAGCACTTTTGAATATGCATGTTTTTCTAAATCTTTAGTTAACTTTTATTTTAGTATCAACATGAATATAATTTACCTTTAATGGATAATGATATGATCTGTAAGCTAAATGATCTCTTCCACATAAAGGTGGGTGTTCTGTTCTCATATACATCTCTAAATGTTGCAGAAAGTCGTGATCCTGATAAATAAAATCTAACATAGTAATATATAAATTCCTTAAAGACGTATTATGTAAGAACTAAATTTGTCTGTCAGGGCTGTTTTCTATCTTCAACCTTTTGTTTATCGTAGCAAATTAGTGATACATCTATTCATTATGCAAATTATGTAGATTAAATCTTCTTTCCCAATTGTTGACGGATAAAAAGACAAAATATACTTACTTCATGTGATGTAAATGGTACTAACATGCCTATAGCACCAGAAAGTGTGGTATAAACTAGAGACTCAGATCCACCAGGTATTAAAGTAGCCTTCTGTAAGGATGTTATCACTTCTCCTACATAAAAATTGGATACAATATCGGCCTGAAAACATAAAAAAAAGTGGTATAGTTCAAATACCATTACTCTTTTTCATTACTTAATGTCCATTTATCATGTATGTTTCACACCCCTCAATGTTCCCAAATCTGCCTAACCATTTGATCAAGAAATAACAACCACTCCCTCAGTCAAGCTACCACACAATAAGCTGGCAGACAACACTCAGTTGCCAGTTAGTGATACTTTTGCCCAGTGCTTGCCCCATGGGTGTTCTTTGGGTAATTCGGTATTTTTCTAGTAAGGTTGGGGGTCTATACTTTCCATATATACAAAATTTGCGATACTTTTATTGGAAATGACCACCCGATAAATGCTTTCGGGACAATGTATCTTTAAAGGAAATGGTTCTTTAAATCTCCTTTATATCTCGTAACAGACACTTACCTTTTGTGTAGCACCATTTAATACACCTCTATCCCATAATGCCTTATTACCAGTAGGATCTTCATCTACATCATCGGACACACTAATTGGTAGACGTACCTACAGAAAAAATATATCTATTATAGCTTTCAAACACCCTCATGAAAAGTTACGAGTTGGGAAGTTTCAAATATACCAAATGTTTTAATTTCTGTAGTAACTATACTAGACTTGAATTAACCTTGAATGCCAGCTCATTAGACAAAAAGGAGATGAATGTTGACAGCATTAGATATGGTGGATGTCTAACTATATGTATTACTATACAGCACCAACACAATTCTCAATTCAACAGATTGTCATTCCCTCCCATAATAGTTATTCTTATGTAACAAAATATTTCATACTTTTAGAAACATTTTACTACTTACCAAAGTAACATTGCCAAATTTATCTGCTCCAGCCATAGTATTATAATCTAATAGACATGAACAGGTTATCCAACGTGGATTTGTATCATCAGCAAATATAATCAACTGATTCTCTTGTCTTTTATATCGTAAGAAATGAAAACTTTCTTGTATATCAGATACTAACACACGATTACCCATAGTATGGATATTTACTATAAAGTTAGGTACACTCTGAAAGATAAATTGTATTTAAAGTTAATTTAGTTTCAATCAAATTACATTTAACATAAACAAAACTAGACATTTACAGGAAATTTCAAGATAAGTAAATTTTAAACAGGGCCTTTAACATCTTAGCAGAAAAAGTCAAAGTGGTTCCAGGGAACATGAAAGATTGCAGACAATTCCAACAGGATATCTAAGAGCTTTAAAAAGATAAAATAGCTTTAATGGCAGGAATTTGATCAAAAGTGTTTTAAAAGGTTATACTAAATAATTTTTTTAAAACTAACTGATATACTTACCTTATTTTCACATTTTCTCAGCATTTTCTTTTTTCCAAGATCATAGATACGTAGATATTTGCCTACTCCTATTAAAACTCTTCCTTGAAAGGGAGTGATTGCACCAGGAACTTCATCAACAGATGTTTTATGTAAGAATGATAATTTTGTACCATTTTCTTTTACTATGTAGGCATAGATATATCCACCACTTAAAGAACGGGGACTTAACACAAGATCTCTAGCTACACCAACCAATAATATAGTATCATCACTTCTATTGGCAAATTTCACTAGCGCTATACTGAAAATATACATAAAATAAATTAAGTACATCATTTCACATTTCAAGGAAAAGAAAATACTAATTCAAAGACAACATGAAGGTGATTGCTTGAACATCATTACACATGGATGCCAATTCGTTTTTGTTTTTCAAATTTTATATTCCAAGAGCCATCTTTCTTCATGTATTACTATGACAAAATTGTATGTGTTTCTGTTTTGGATAATTACATTTTCGACACACCCGATTAATGTCATCTATGTGACACTGTCTATTCAAATTAATGAATTTGTTGGTTTCTTCGTATACCATCAAGCTTTCAAAGTTTAAATAGAAATTATACCACGGATGGAACCAAGCTGTGATTGATCCAATATATTGTTTCCAAGCAGACAGGAAAACAATTTGTCGGAAAATCTGGATTTTTTTTTTCTTCTAAATTAAGTTCTGGTTGATATGAGGGTTTAGTCAATGAAGTGTCTGTTTAGTCGTGCTTTATATGCACAGATTTCTGGGAAATACCTGCTGAGTAATTTGACAAACAAAAGATCGTCTTCACAGTGACTTAATAAATCTTACCTGTGAGCAGCTTCATTTTGTTCCAAGTTTATTTTTTCCAGAGTTTCACCGGTTAATGGATTTAATAAATAAATCTTACCTGTGAGCAGCTTCATTTTGTTCCAAGTTTATTTTTTCCAGAGTTTCACCGGTTAATGGATTTATAGCTCTAATGACAGACGCCCACAGTCCCATACCAGCTTTAGGTGAACCAAATACAGATTCTGGCCTTTCTTCATTTAAAAATGCTGCTGCCATTTCTGCTGCTAACTCCTGTTCCTCTTCTTGAGCCGCTTCAATCATTTCCTGATATCGAAACATGCATTGTCGTTAACAAAATTAACACAAAAACATTCTAAACTTACAAAAATGTATGTCTAAAATGTCAAACAACTGCAATGGTGCCTAATATTGTCAGGAACAGCAGTCCTTCACGTTTATGGTTCGCTTTCGCTCCTGCTCCTCCCAACTTAATTACTCCTGCAACTAAGCTAAATTGCTCTTCTAAATAGTGAGAATAAACTAGTTTTAGTTTTTGTTTATTTTTAAACTGCATACGTTCAAGCTCTCAGTTTCCATAATAATTCTGATGCTACCATATTCACCAAATATTAAACAAGACTAAAGCATAAATACAATTTGGCTCTCCTTAAATCCAAGAAAATGTAGAATTACTCTTGCAATATAATTAAGAACAGGTTTTTACCGGAGCCGTTTTCTCATTTTTGAAATCGACAGGAGCTTTATGGTTCCCTCGCAATTTTATAAACGTGAAAGACTGGAACAAGTAATATCATTTCCAGACCTGATCCGTATTACAGCTACAGTTGGAATCATTAATTCCAGACCTGATCAATATTACAGGTGTATTGGTAGAGTACAGATCAGTATCACAGAGTGTAATCATGTATTCAGGTGAAACACGGATAATAACATCATCTCTGTACCTAGATATATAAATAAAAGAATTTTACCTCGGCCATTTGTTGTTTTCTTTGTGTTTTTGTTTCTTCAGTATAAGTATTGTGATCAGTTTCAATAATAAATAAATTGTTTGATTCATGAATAACAAATTTTCTTGGTGTATATTGCAGTGGCCAAGAAACTTGATTAAACACAGCTCCTAATTTCTCTAATGCCAAAATACTGAAAAGAATAAAATTGAATGAACCAACTAATGTCCTAATCAGCAATTAAAAGTTGAATATTTATGAACCATTATGGGAATTAACTCTTTGTTTTATGTCAAAATAAAGTGATGCCTTTATTATCGTTTTTGATGGAACAAATTCCAAAAGATTACAATAATTTTTTAAATGAAATAAAATGGTGTTCATCGTCCTACTTTACTGTACAATCCATTCACAAATAAATTTATTATGATTGCTATTTTACGAGGAATATTTTACCGTAAAGTGTTAGTTGAAATGGCTACAATACCCTCAGGACATTGTTCAGATGCAAAACCAGAAGCATATTCTAAAGATTCATAAGATAAGGGTGTTAAATGAAATCTACTTTGGTATGTATAACTCAACCATGTTCTACTGGACATAGCCAACACCTGGGGAAAAAAAAAATTCTTTATTAAAATTTTCCACAATCAACCACTGTTTACTGCTTTCATCAAAATAGTGGACATATAAAATTATCAAAATTATTTGTCTGCAATAACTAAGACAAACTCTTTAAAATCAAACTGATTGGAACTGATCTAAATGTCTTTAATAGAGAAAAGACATTGGAGCATCAAGAGAAAACCTGTGACTTGGGTATATGTAAACCTATTCGTTATCACATACAACAACACCTTACTAAATGAAACATTAAATGCATATGTTGGAGCAGTCAAGCCCCCGAGTTTAGTATATAGATCAGTAATATTCTACAATATAATCATACTATATTATCAGGTGAAACACGGATATAACATCATCTCTATATACTAACATATAAATACACTGTCTATACTTACAGCTTCTGATCCTTGCATCGATATTCTGAACAATTTAACAGGTCTTGAACCTAAATATCTTGTACGTGTATCAGATAAATCACCAGTTACCATATCTAATACTGTTCTCAGTAATACACCATTCTGTAAATATAAGTAATCATTCTAAATGTTATGTTTATAGTCAATCACAGCTGATATATTTCCTATTTCAAAATCATTTAGTCTTTGTAAAAAAGATCAACTGTAATATTTGACCAGTGTCTTTAAGTCTATTGTCTCTATCACACCATCTAAAAGATCATCTTGTGAATTACTGGAAAGTGAAACTTTTACCATGAACATGTTGCTCACATTGAAATATTTAAATAATAAACCAGCGGCTGCCAGGCAGGATACGCCCACATTTTCGAGAGATGGATAGAGAACAAGCTAACAGGAAAGTCATTTTTCCTACAATCAAGGGCCATAATTCAGGAAATTACAATTCGATATGCGCATATATCGAAAGGAACTGAGATCTTTGTGTTATAAACTTACATTTCAAGTTTCAACAAAATCGGATAAAAATTCCTCTATAGGGTCCACAACCTTGATATACCATATTTTTACGCTATTTGAGAACGAACGGCGGCCATTTTGTCTGTCAATTTTGGGGCGATTTTCACAAAATTCAAACTCAACTGTCCTTAGGGTGGAACGGTAATATAATAATAAGGTTTTTTAAATCGGATAAAAATTATGACCTCTAATGGGTGCACAAGCTAAAAACATGATTTTTCGTACAATCAGGGGCCATAATTCAGGAAGTTACTGTCCGATATGGGCAAATATTGAAAGGAACCGAGATCTTTGGGTTATAAACTTATATTTCAAGTTTCAACAAAATCGGATAAAAATTGTGACCCCTATAGGGTCCACAACCTTGATATACCATATTCTTACGCTATTTGGGAACGAACGGCGGCCATTTTGTCTGTCAATTTTGGGCCGATTTTCACGAAATTCAAACTCAGTCATCCTTAGGGTGTAACGGTGACATAATAGAACGTTTTTTTAAATCGGATAAAAATTATGACTTTTATAGGGTCCACAAGCTAAAAACGTAATTTTTCGTACAATCAGGGGCCATAATTCAGGAAGTTACTGTCCGATATGAGCCAATATCGAAAGGAACTGAGATCTTTGGGTTATAAACTTACATTTCAAGTTTCAAAAAAATCGGATAAAAATTGTGACCTCTATAGGGTCCACAAGCTAAAAACGTGATTTTTCGTACAAACTGGGGCCATAATCCATGAAGTTTCGATCCGATACATGCCAATATCGAAAGCAGCCGAGATCTTTTGGGGATAAACCTATATTTCAAGTTTCGTCGAAATCGGATAAGAATTGTGACCTGTGGAGAGTCCACAAACAATTGTGGACGGATGGATGTCCGGACGGACAGGGGCGACGGCATAATACGTCCACATGAAAATGTGGGCGTATAAAAAGATAGTACCTGTAAACCTATATTTAGATAAAGACCACCAGATGTCCCTGGTTCATTTGTATCTTCTTTAGCTTCTGTACCACCCATCTCTATAATACATAGTGATTCAGGTTGAGCTGGTAATGCCTGCATACTCAGTGGAGACAAACAATCCTGTAAAATACAAATTTTCATTCTGTTCATTCAGATGCTCCATTAACAATTAAAAACATGCATTCTGGGACTGTGATGATATTGACCTTCATTAGACAACCAATCCAATGACCCCAGAGTTTGCTGATGAAGTGGAGTAATCAAACAAAGAATAAAACTTAAATATTTGGACATTAGACTTCAGAAACCTTGAACAAAATTCAGAAAACCATGAACAAAATTCAGGAAACATTTAACAAAATCTTCAAACTTTAGTTTATTTAACAAACTGGTTTTAAAACAATTTTACTTTAGAGGTTATGATTAATAAAGATTAGATTGTACTTACATTAGGGTCAAGGGAGACTATTCTAACAGTATTATCAGCCAATCCAACAGCTAAAAATCGTGATCTTTGTTCACCTTGAGGTACACGACCGATACCCATACAAACAACATCTGCAGACATTTCTTTTCTCTCTGTATATTCATTTAGTTGACCAGTCTTTAAAAGAAAAGTTTATCCAATTTTTATAAATCTTATTTTCAATCTCGGCCCCAGGAATCTCATGAATTTTAATTTATGTAACTAGTCATGCTGGACATTCCCAAAATTTAACATATACTGATTTAAACGTAATTTCCATATTCATAGTTTTTAAACTACAAAAGTTCATTGCATTGTTTAAAACAAGAGTAACGCCAATTCAGTGTTTGAGGAGTTCATAAATACAAATCATAATACTTACCGGATCCATTTCAAAATAGACCAATTCTCCACCTGTTAAGGCGATCACTACTTGTCTTTGATTGACGGCACATTTAACAATGGCTTTTTTACCTGGTGTTTTCCATTCGTTTACCCTCTTATCCGATCGGATATGACGAATACCTTCTGGATAAATCTTAAAACATACAAATTTTAAGATTAATATATTGATTAAAGGCTAAAGTTGCTGTGGTTGTATTACAGGGAATATGATCAGCGGTGTCGCATCACAGTTTTCTAAACAAAAATGATGTACAATATTAATTTGATTAGCAGAAAGTTATCAAATTTAAGGGAATCTGTGAAATCAAGTTTCTTGTCCCAACTTAAGCGTGAAAAAATGTTTTAGCAAACATGATTTACCGCTCCACTGTGTACAGACGTCTTAATCCCCTTGATCTCAGTCGACGAGATTAAAAGTAGTCAAAGATTAGTCAATAAACTAATTGTAAGCTAACCTTTCAACAGTAATTCAGTTCATGATCTAACTAGTAATTAGTACAAATGTAAAATTTGATAGTTCTATAATTATACAATTTTTATCTGTAACCATTTCCCTTCATAAGAATTTACCATGTGTTCCCATCTGGCATCCCATTTGCCATCACACAATATTTTAATCATTATGCATTCACTGAACAACAAAATATTCCATAGGCTATAATCATATAAGATAAATGTATCCGTCCGAAGCTCGCACTGTTATTAGCTGTACACACCAGTTTATTTTTTATTCGTTTAACAAATTACTTTGGGACTAAAATAGCACTTGGTTTATTTGGCGGGAAACAAGTCACATGGGCAAATAACATGGCAACAATAATGCATGCATTGCATACGGGTGTCGATGCTACGATGTAATTTTGAAATACCGTTTTATAATGATAATGTTTCAACATCACCAACTTTTGTTATCACAGATATTTTGCTGTCATTTTCTGCTGTGTAAATGAAGACGTAATTGTTGAGGAATATTACTAACTTGAATTTGAAGCAAGTAGCTTGGGGGTCTGTACGCTCTCATTCTATCGTTTTACAAAAACAACTAATTTTGTAGGAATATTACGGACATAAATTTCAAAACTGTACGGGAACTATATGTGAAAAATAGCAAGGCACACTTATGTTTTTTTGTTTTTTTTGTATTCAGAACACAACATAACATAAAACTATTTGTAGTTGAAGTCTATTAAAGGGAATGAACGCCGCCCCCTCCCCCATACACACGTAAACACTAGTTGTATAGCGGTAGAAATCATGGCCTTTAGAGATCATTCAAAACAATACTGTTAAAATTTACTTCTTCGTTATTCATTTCAAGATTGATAAGTACCCTTTTTTCAAACATCCAATAATTGCTAATCAATTTTTTTACTTATCATATACCCTGTTGTATTATATCTGAAGCATAGATCAGTTTTACCAAATATTGTAATCATTTATATATTCAGGTGAAACACGGAAATACCATCATCTCTATGCTTGTCATTTAAATTGTTTTGAAATAGTAAATTAATAATAAATGTAGTCATTTTATGGTTGATAAATCTGAAACAGTTTCATGACTAACAGTTAAGAAAATCAAATATTTACATGATAGTAGTTGAAAATTTGGCTGAAAGTCTATTTTGTGAAAACTGTTAAAATTTGGATTTTGTCAGCCTATTTCAGGGTTTCGAGGAAAATGAGCACCCTATTAATGGGAACTCTCATAACTTCAATACCTGAACTAAGGCATCATCTCCAAGTTGTGAACACGATATTGTAGGCGTTGTACCCAGAAAACCAGAATCTGTCACTTCCTCTACAGTCTCACCAATAGACAATACTAAGGTAGCATTCACAAAAGATACAATAATGTAGGCATCATAGTCCTCTGAAAAATATAATACAAATCTATTATGAATAGCACATAAAACTGGTTGGAATTTGATTTATCACCCAATAATCCACCATACAGGTTGTATCACATGTTTTGTATAGTGATATCTATCACTTGGAAAGTCGCAACGATTTCCTTTTATCTTTTTTAATAGATGTGGAATGGTTGACAAATAAAATCTCATACTCAGCTTTTTATATGGAATTTTGTTATACTCAGTTTTTTTATATCGAATCTTGTTGATATAATATAATACTATTCAGTTTTTTAATATCAAATTTTTTTGATATAATAAAATATGTAGTAGTCTCAGATTTTTTACATTGTCATTATTTAAATACATGTATGAGATTCAGTACATACAATATCTTAAAGTAACGGCTTGGGAAAATTTAAATTTGTACATAGCAGCCTTTAACAGCCAACTATTTTTACACAAAACAGTACTTGAGAATTTCTTAGACCAGCTAATAATAGCTAATTCAAAGTTATAAAAGATCAGATATATAAATATATATTAAATAGTCTATATAAACAATTATTAATTCAAACAAGAGCTTTATAATGCCATTATTTTAATGGTACTGAAAGCAAATGTTTCTGTATTCTAGACCTACAAACGTTCCCATGGTGCTGATGTCTTTAACAACCCTGAGACAGGAATCGAGTAGCAATCTGGTTACCAGCAATCGTCATCATATACTGCATCTGAAAGCAGAAAGAGGCTTGGTGTTGGTTGGTAGGATGCCAAACAACCAGCCTTTTTCTTTTAGTAACTTGTCTACTCAAAGCATAATTTTTTTCTCTTCAATACAGCTGTGCAGTACAATGTTAAAATCAAAATTCCATGACAATTTTTAAATAAGAACATTTTCTTCAATTTTTGTATGTAAACATATGTATCTTTTGCAAATACTGTAAGACAAGAATTTAATGTCACAAACATGTCCATGTAAAAGCATGTTGAAATAAATAACCTTTCTCAAGACTGGTTTCATGCTAGTTTTACAATCTAAAATAATTTTGTGCTTTGTGGTGGTTTAACAGGTAGCTACATGACGGACAACAGTTAGTATTTATTAAATTAATTCCTTGCCTTACAGTAACAAAGCTATTAAAGCTTTGTGTTAGCCAAGCATTTAATTGCTTTGCTGTACCAAAAAACTTTATCAAACCAGTGTTTTTTAAAGCAAATTATTGTTTAAAAAGTGTAAAATAACAGTTTTATCCTGTGTAATCTATACATATTTCTTGAATTCATACAAAAATAATATCTGAAAATCAAATAGACCTGAAATAGAAACTTAAGTCTGTACCTTCTACTGAAAATTAAATACACCTATACAATGTTAGGCATACTTGGTTTTCTATATCATAAGTTAATTTCAACATAAATGAAATTCTTCATCAACAGTCAAACCAAAGTACACACGTAAAGAAATAATGAATGAATGAAACATGGTTTAACGTCACACTTTTCTGCACCATGTAAAGAAGTAAGCCATTTCTAAATGATTAAGGGTATTCCGAGTAAAAAAATACCTAAAGATATATCAAAGGACAACAGATCGGGTTATAAAAACAATTGACAATAAAAATTTGTAAACATCTTAATGTGCTCTGAATGATTATAAATATACTAGTTGCAACTCACCATCAATTCTGCGTTTGACTGTCCATACAGCATTAGGATTACCAGGCAATTCAGATACAGCCATCTCAGATACCTAGAATTAAAAATATGTGATACATAACAGACATGTTCAAAACATTCGATATCAAAAATTATGTCTTCTGAAATCAAAGCAGTTCAAGATTTCACATGTTATTCATTAATAAAAGTAACTTTAAGTATGCAAAAGGTCAAGAAATGGAAAATTTTATACTAAAGTTTGTACATCTTCGAAACTGTGTCAGATAGTTGTACAGAACAAAGATGATACAATAACAAAATAAATTATTCAATTGATTTATATAATCTACTTTTTAACACAAGTTATTATTAGTAAACATACCTCTAATCCATGACGTAATACTCGAAGAGATGATCTTGGACCACGTCCACATAATGTATACAACTGAGGTGTATCTTCGTTAGCTAAATCGGCTATCTGACAACTCATAATAGGAGATAAACTATCCATTTCATCAACTACTACAAGATTTTTTAAGGGACGGGGAGAGAAGAGAAAGGTATCCCCCTCCTCCAAAGGCATAGCACTACTAAATGTTGGTTCTCCATCATCATCACCTAGATGTGCAATCTGGTATAGGTAACTGAAATAATTGAAAATAAACATTGTAAAGTAATAAGATAAAGTTTTAAATCTAGAATTCAAGCCCATAAAATATTTCATTTCAAACATTGACAATATTTACTTAAGCTCTTCATATTATCTAGTTTTAAAGGAATGGTGTTTTATATTAACAAAACATCGTCAAATTAGACAGCATTCATACAGTGGTTATAAAGATGTTCAGTGGGCAGTCATGCAATATGCATTGCTGGTGAAGGTACTGAGGTTATTTGTAATATATTTTATAAACTTATTTACACGTGTGTAATGGTATGGAAGAGAATTTCTGAGTACTTATACAGTGGATTCTGTCACTTCCAACATCGTATGGGATAGTTAAAATATGCAAAATCACACAGCATGACATAATACTCAATACCGGAAGTATTATTGTACCTTCAAATACCGGAAGTATTATTGTAACTTCAAATACCGTGAGTATAATCTTCTGTTGTACATCAATGTTGTATTTGGTGGTAAAAATTTACTATTTACATTGCTATAGCGCTCGCATGTTTATCATACAATGATCGGTTGGGTAATGCTTTAAAAAACAAACACATTTCGTCACAATTAAATATGTTTTCAGAAGAATACCCTTCAATAATAGACGGATTGCGCATGCAGAATTCTTCAACGGTACCGAGATCAACACCTGCACTTTCGCCACTAATTTTAAAGTCTCAGCAAACCTTGGTACCATAGATTCGATGAATTGGCTGAGGTGCGTCAAATGTTTAAAGGCTTTGATGTTGAAACCACTCAAGGTAATCAAAACAAAACAGTAAGGCTGATGTCTCCTGCCGAAATCTCAAAATAGATCGACACATTAATCGCACATTTATTTTTTTCAAAAGTATCAAGCAATCAAACTGATTATCAACTATACACTAAATTTCATCACTCTCTATCAGATAGAATCAAAGTTATCTTGTCCCAAAGCATCGACCAATGAAATTACTTAGCTTCAGCTCGAAATGTTAACCATTGAACTCAGCCAAGACATTCACCTAATGAACATCTACATCAAGTTTAAACATTCTACCTCAATTAAAAGCAGAGTGGTTATGTTTCAAGTCTTGACCAATCGAATTAGTTATCGCTCCTTAGCCTAAGCAGAAAATTCTCATCATTGAACTTAGTAATGATATAAAAAAATCTATATTCAGAGTTTCATCACTCTCACTTAATTATACTGTAACCAAATTATCGTGCCCCAAATCATCAACCAATCAGATTGCTTATCTCTGCTTACCGTAAGCATACAATGTTTATCATCGAATTCCATCAAGGGATTCACCTAATGAACGCCTACACCAAGTTTGAACGTTTTACCTCAATTAGGAGAGTTATTGTGTTCCAAAGTCTCGACCAATCAAATTGCTTAACGCTCTGCATACCCTGAGCAGAAAATGCTCATTATCGAACTTAGTCAAGGTATTGATGTGATGAAACTATAAACAAAGTGTCCTTACTCTCACTTAATTAGAACTAAAGTTATCGTGTCCCAAAGCATCATCCAATCAAATTGTTTTTCTCTGCTTACCCCAAGCAGAAAATTCTCATCCATGGCATTCACCTAACGATTCTCATCCATGAACATTCTAGCTCAATTAGGAGAGTTATTGTATCCCAAAGAGTGTGACGGATGGACGAGCCCATTTTAATAGTCTCCTGCTTTCTTCGAAAGTATTATTAATCTCACCGATAACTGATTGCTTGTCAATCTTTTGTACGTTAACACCCACGGATTGAAGGATGAATTATACAATGTTAATTGAATGCAAATTGTGTTGTAATTCGTAATATTCAAAATACGGACTACTCAAAACTTTTTTGATTGATCTAATAAGGAAATAAATCGTGACATGGAAATGATCAAGGATTTTACAGAATGCTGTAGTATTCAGAAGCTAGATGTGACAAGAGCCCACTGTATATAGCAATTATCTTTTAAAGCAAACAATACATGTTATATTTTAAAAAATGTCACAACAAAACCTGTTTGAGTCTTAGAAGTTATTTGATGTTTATGAGAAAGTAGACTAAAATAAAAACTGAACTCACTGGTTGCCAAATTCTGAAGCAACAAATAGAAAGCCAGACTTGAGAACACACATACTAGCCGAAACAGGGACAGTATCAAAATACTTTAATCTAATTTCTGTCACCTGAAAAATTATAGCACTATAAATAAATCCTTTGGAAAATATTTAATACATTAATCAAGTGGAGAGCATACAACAGTAAAATTCAAATACTTTTGAAAAACGTGAATATTTTGACTTGTGCCTTCAATTACTCTGAAGCAATGAAAATTCACCACTGCTTCAAAACACAGACACAAGGGGCAAAAGATAGATTTCAGTAACATTTGTATCCACATATGGCAGCCATACATGCCATACAACACCACCTTACAGAGGATCCTTATCAATTAGCTCTTTTACAATTGTCCATTTATAAAAGTAGTGCATTTTCATTGTCTCAGTATATGATGTCTTCCACTTACTATATCTTCATCTGTTTCTAAAGTTATTTTAAATATATCTCCTTGTTCTGTTTGAGCCAAGAAGAAAAACATTGACTGAAAAACAAAAATGGACAACATACTAGTGGGAATGTCATTTTATCAACATACCACATTTAAAATACAGAAAAAAAACAAATATAGTTTAACCAATGAAAATATTTCATGGTGGGTTATTTTTTTATATAAAAATCAGTTTAAAATTGTCCACATGAGATATACATTAACCAAATCCATTTACATACCTAAAAATATTATGAAATAAAATGAAATGGGGTTTAACGTCTTATGAAGATGGGCATATGCCATACTGTGTGCTATGAGGTAAATTTTTCCCGGAGAGCTGTGCTATGACCTACTCTTATATCGAATTCCAACAGCCAAAGGATCTTTTACATGCAGGCCAATGTGTACTCGGGACCTCAGTTTTCTGTTCCATCCGAACGACTATACATTGTTTCTTGTCAGGCCCTCGGTCCTGCACCACTTTAACAGACAACGCAGGGGTCAAACACAGGACATCGAGATTAGAATGCGGTCTTACTCAGTGAGCCACTGTGGCTCCCAACACACATTATAAATTTACTATATAAAATATTACCTTAGTTTTATGTGTAGCACTACATACAAATATCATTCCTCTTTCTGGGTCATCTAAATCATACTGTAAAAGAATTTTTTATTAAAGTTAGAACTTCAAATGTTATCATAAGTAGGAAACTCTGATTTTAATTTTTCTCAACTTATATGATAGAAGGTGGGATTCCTGTAATGCATCAACTCTTCTGTTCACAAACCTTATTGGGTTAAGGTCATTTCTACCTTATGTTGTAGAAGGGCACCTTGACAAGGACATTCAATTTAGGTCCTGGGTTACCTATCTGGGTCATCAGCTGTCAAGCACAGTTCTCAGCCGTTCATAAACTCAACTCAAAGTTCACTGGAAACCACAGCTTATTTTGGACAAAGTCAACCTTGTTAGGGGCAAACGGAAACCAGATCACACACCCACCAATACCCTGTATGACATTCACAATCACAGTACGATTCTACTCTATAATGCTGGAGTTTAACAAGGGATACCATTTAGTGCCAGGATATCACTGTCCGTGTGACATACAGTCTCCTATACACTTGGTGTTTGATATCCATCAACACTAAATTATTAGGGTCTTATGAAAATATAGTTGTAACAATTTATCTTACCCTTCGTCTGGGTATAGGACATCTAATATCGGGTTGATCTCCCAGATTTTTATAAGTTATATAATTCTCTGAACAAATTAATACACCACTAGGTCCTTCATTACCACCCGGTACTATAATATAAAATTAAATCATGTGTAAGTGTTTATAAAATACAAACCAAAACCAATACTAAAACTTTAGACCTGGCCAAGAAATTTCATATTTTCTGTTATAGAAACTGCTTCAACTGATTTGTTTACATGTATATTATGTATAACTGACAAAAATAAATGTGGTAATGAAGGCGAGTCATCTACCTTCAGAGATGTGGCCTGGTTAATATCTGAATTATAAACTTACATATGGTATTTAAAGCACTAACCTGATATTAAAAAGTTAGCATGTTCTTCCAACTGTTCTGAGTATTTTCTGACCACATGATTTAGCCCTAGATCTAATTCATAATAAGTTAAAAGTTGTTGACTTTTAGCTGCAGCTTCACCTGTAGGATCTTGATCAGCATCCTGAAAACAAACATAACCGAGAAATGATTTAACCATGTCTATTTTGAAGGAAGGTTCATATTTGATGGCGACTATAATATAGACAAGGGACTGTCAGGCTGCCCCATATTCCCACCAGCAGGAAAATCATGTGTGCTGGCTCTAAAATCACTGACACTTTCTAAAAATCTGTTATGCACTCTGTGTCAATCTGTAAATGTTTAAGCTAACCCACTTTCATTTGTGTGTCAAATTTAGATTATTTGGGGTATTATTTCCATTAGTGGCAAGAATAAATCAATATATTATTTAAGAAAAAAATTATCAAATAACTTGCATGTGATTGGGTGTTATATTTATCTGTCTAGTCATTGGAATGGGACAAAAACCCAAGGTGTTGTGTACACATTGGCGTGCACGCTAAAGAAATCTTGACAGTTTGAATTTGAAATAGAGCTGGTCGTAGCACTGCTGCAAAATTTCCCTAATAGCATGTAGTTTTTGGGGTATGCTCGTCTTCATTAGCCCAGTTGGTGCAGAACAGTAGGACGCTATACTCCATTTCATTTCTTATATCTATTTCTGAATATGAATAATGTGTATTAAACAAACCTCATAGTCTATTTCAAGACAGGCAAACGTAGGATTTTCAAATCCAATATCAACACCAACAATATTATAGACTAATGTATTAGATTTATGTGCCTCTAATGGTGATGATATAGTTAATCTAGCCTGAGCATCTCTATTTAATATATAGACCAACTTTTGTTTTTCAACAGCACCTATAATGAAAATAAATAATGACAATTAGAGACTATCAGAGACAATAATTGGTAAGTTTTTGGTCTATGATAAATGTTTATCTCAGATATAATCTCTTTGATACAGTACTTTGTTAAAACACTGAAACCTGGCAAAAAAGATTTGTACAATCATAATATATTCCTTTAGTTTAAGCACAGTAATTGATTCATAATGTCTACTAGACACAAACTAAGTTATTCCAGGACTAAGATACCGTTCAATTTTATTTCAATAATTCAATTGCACGTAGGAAAACCTTCAATGTTGGACTGGTGACCCTTCTCGTCACGTACAAGCTGGGAATCAAAACCACGCCACTCGACTCACATGACAGTTTATTAACTAAGTGTACACGTTAAAACAATTTGACCAGGCGCACTTAGAACTGCAGATTACTTTACAGAGATAACATGTTCAAGGTCTACTGAATGATCTATTCAAGAGGTGAACTAACCAATCATTACAGCTCTTCCTTTCGGGTCAACTGCCAGAAACTGTCCAGGCACAATTCTTCGACAGCCACTCTTACCAAATGTTTCCTGGTGAACCTACAAACAATTTTACAATATCAACTGTACATGTAAACTTGATGGTATTATCTGAACACAGTTACTGAATTTGAAGAAATGAACCTTACATTACATAATCTGAAAGTCTGTCCAGCTTTACAGTGTAAATCTAGGGCTGTCCTGATGAAAAATGTGTTCAAAAATATTTGATTCATATGATAAACACTTTATTGCACTTAGTACTTTTTGCATCATTGTTAATCAAAAGAATGAGCCGAACCTTTTCAAAAATATTCTTCGAGGGCATATACTCCAAGATGACAATTCTCCCAGAATCAGAACCAACAACAATATAATCTGAAAGAATAAAACAAAAACAGAAAATGATAGAATAGAATGTTAAGTTAGCATTACCAAAACCAAATAAGATTTTATTCGGTCAAAGGAATATTGCCAACTATTACAGTAACTGCTGTGAATTACTATGCAATTTGTCAATACCCCAAATACAGACAGTGAAACATATTATTTATTGGTTTTTCGTTATTCCTATTAAAGCCCACTGCAATTTGTGGATGTGTGTGTTGATCATTGGGTGACTAATTGCAGTAACTTACCTGTAACTAAACGACATCGGTAAATACATGTATTATCCACCAAAATCTTTCTTCCAAACAATGTTTGGGTTAAAAAAAAATACAAGTTTACACCAATTCTATTGTCAAAACTGTACAAAATAGATAAAATTTTGAAACGAGAATTATGCGGTATTGTTATTTTGAGTCTGAACCCTGTATCATAAAATATCTCAATTTGGCACTGCCATATTAAATAAAACCTTACCTTTAGATCCTCCAGTCAATTTAAATGGCATAAGAGCCCGAATGATTCCAAAGACTTCCACTGACAGTACTGGATAGATTTTTCCAGTATTTGGATCATGGCGAAGCAATTCCAATATCTTTCCGCGGGACACAACAATTTCTTGATGTTTTGAGCCGGAAAAGTTTCCATGAATAGCACTGGTAATACCTGTAGCCCTTTGAAGGGTCAGGTTGTAGAGAAACATCTTTCACACCTAAAAACAAATTTATTTTACATTGTTAGTTTAGAAAATTATATTCAGTTACGGTATATTTTAGTGTACTGTATGTCAACAAAGACTAGAGTTTAGATAATACCTCTAGAAATGGTGTATACAGTCGACATATTTTACCAGGATCAGGAGACTTTGTCGAAGTTCTTTATGGTCAACTCATTGTTGACAAGTTTGGGTTCCTGAGCATGCAAGGATATTTGAATTTCTTTTCCTGTTTTTTTTTTACTTATGCAGCAGGTGCAGCGGCAGTGCATGACTAGGGCCTACTGATAATTCTTCTGGTTATAACATTACACCATCATGGTCCTTTAAAGGGTCAGTTATTTATTTTAGATGAATGCCAAGATTCAAAACTTTGGTTAGTAATAGTAAAATGGTCAACACCACTGTTTTACACAACCTAGATTTTCAACTTAGTCGACTTAGAACCTGCTGAAGTGAAAACTCTGAAAATTATTTATTAGAAATGGAAAGGACAACACAACTTATTTATAAAAAAATTGGTAGAACAGTAAAACAGTTTCGAGAGACAAAGAATAGCGATGTGGAGCTGTGGTATAATATATAAACAAAAGTTAACCGGCAAACCGATCTACAGTCAAATTTATTTAGTAGAGGGTTGTAAAATGATGCAGAACTGTCCATATAGTTTGCAGATTTTACACACAAATTTTATCAAATTTACATCAATAAAATAAATGAAAAAGAAAATTACTGGATGTTTTCCAGGGAATTTGATCTGTTTAGATGATTTCAGTGGATTTTTTTGACCATCAAAATGAACATATTCAACGTTGGTGTTTTCGGAAAATCAGTGCCCGTTCCCATAATTCAATATAGTTACTTCCGCTTTCCGTGGTTTATCCAGACCGAAATTATTGTGAAATTTCTATTCCCATTTCGACCGAATAATCAAGACTATTAGCAGACAGCCAACATGGCAGTTGATGTAACAAATTTGTTTAAAGCTACAGTCAAATCTGTAAAGTCCAGGAACAAGTTATCAGGAGAAAATGGATCAGGAGATAAAAGTAGTATACTAGGTCACACGAGAAAGAAAGGGGACTTTGAAACAAAAGCTAAAGACGTCGTAAGTCAGTCGTAAACCGTCCCTCAAAATTGAAGCCAAACCCAAACATGATTTACCTTACCTAGTACCTAGTACTAACTAACACAGCACCATACAGCCTGACGAAAACAGATTGTATTTTTATTAAGGGTCATCATAGTCAGATTTGACTATAAAAAGGTTTCATGAAATATTACACTTCTACTAACTCCAGTTTCTACCATAATTTGAAGAGGTGTTATGGGACAAAATATAAAATCTTTGTTTTGAAACATCCATTACGCAGGCCCCCGAGTGCCCGAGTCAGTTTATTTACTGATTCTATTGATGTTGAAAAGCTTCATATTATGTTTTAAAGTAGCTAAGTCCGTAACTCAATATCATCCAAAATCTTTGACATTGAAAACACAAATTTGAAGCGGTGTTATGGGACAAAATATAAAATCTTTGTTTTGAAACATCCATTAAGCAGGCCCCTGAGTCAATTTATTTACTGATTCTATTGATGTTTAAAAGCTTCATATTATGTTTTAAAGTAGCTAAGTCCGTAACTCAATATCATCCAAAATATTTGACATTGAAAACACAAATTTTTTTGCAATTTAAATCAGCATTGGTGTTGTGATCTTACCTGGAAAAGAGACTTCTGGCGTATTTCTCCGAACATAACTGATGACAAATCACAGCAAAACGGACACGATTGAATGTAAAACAGTTTATATAAATTCATATTACATTATTATATGTGTTGCTACTCATTTGTGCCAATTTCTAGGTCCAAAATATTAGCGATTTAGCTCCTTTAAGTCACATTCAAATTAAATGTAGAAAATTTTTTTTTATTAAATAAAAATAACATTTGATTCAAATATTACATAAAGTTATACTAAGCTTCAATATATTAAATTAGATGTAATAGAAGAAACTTTAAATTATTGCATAAAAAAAATTACAAGGTTATGTGCATATACAAATAAAAATAATAGAAAGATTATACATGCAGTAAGCCAAGATACATCTTTACAAAGACATCAACAAATTGTATACAAAAGCTCCTAAACATTCTAAAATTTCTACATTTTTATTCATCATCAGTATCTTAAATTGTTGAGAACCACGGTGGCTAAGTGGGTAAGACACTGGCTCGCTAACCTGGAGGTCGCATGTTCGATCCCTACATTGGTCGAAAATGTTCATAGGGATTTTCTGGCCTGGTTTCCCCTTGTCAGTGCTGCCGGATGGAGGGACGGACAAAGACAGGTGTTCAGTCGTTTGGATAGTACGAAAAACTGAGGTCCAGGGTATACATTGGCGTGCACGTAAAAGATCCCTTGACAGTTGGAATTCGATATATGGTGAAGCAGCCTGGGCAAAATTTCCCTCATAGCACACTGTATGGCGTATGCCCGTCTTCATAAGGACAGAACAAGCTATCAAAAAGGAGGTTTTTTGTACAATCAGGGGTCATAATCCAGCAAGTTACGGTCTGAAGTATCAACATTAGGAACCCAGTTCTTTGGGCTATGAATATATAACTGGATGAAAATTGTGACCTCTAGAGGATCCACAAGCTAAAAATGCAATTTGGTCCGATACATGCTAATATTGAAAGAAACCAAGATCTTTGGGGGATATGCCTATATTTCAAGTTCCGTCAAAATCGGATAAAAATTGTTATCTGTAGGTAGAGTGTCCACAAACAAATTATGGACAGACGAATGGACTGGGGCGACATCAGTATACATCCACAAGAAAATGTAGTCGTATAAAAATCAGGACCGGATGAAATGAGCTCTCTCAAATTAAAATAAGAGCTCTTGTCTGGTATCTGTGTTCTTCTTTAAATAAAAAGAACATGTTATGTTAATGTATTTGGTTGGTTAGAATATTGGTTATATGACAGTCTTCATATGTAACAGTGTTAAGCTGTTATCTATCAACTTCAACTTCATCATTAAGTTAATCCACCATATTTAAAATGACAGTTTAAGAAATGTTACTTTAATTTTAAAATAAAATGTGCAATTTGAATTTTATCTAGTTAAGTATATTGCAAATTCTGTACGAAAATACACACTACTACAGTACATCTTGGGGTTAAACAATAAATCCATGTCCAATTAAATTACATAATACATATTTTCTGTTTTCAGAAAAAATATAATTATATTATAAATAGCTCACCTTTATTGAAAGATGTCAATTTTTTATTCTGACATCCAATACCATTCTTTTTAATGATAAAACTTGTTTTTTTGAAGAAATAAACAACAATTCCCCAGAAATTATACCAATTATAATAAAGAGCTTTTTATTTTATAATTCAAAATGTTGTCATTTGATACTTCCAATAGCAAGCAGGTTTTAGTTGTCAACACTTAACTAATTGAAACATTTATATCAGGGTAATAATGCTATCAAGTGGGACATGATGTTGAGATTAGCATACCAGCCAATTAAATGTCAGTGAACTGGACACAACACAAACATCAAAAATTTAGCCCTTTTTCTGGAGCTAGTCCTATAGGTCTGTGTCATTTTTAGGTCTCTAAGTTTGGGTGTATACACTTTGGATTTTTGTCACAATTTAATTTTCTCACTTTTTCATTTCAGGTTTCAAATATAACTCAGTTAAGAGACTTTTTACTGACACATCGAAAGGAATATGTTCATACAGGAAGGTACAAATTTTAATATTTTAAACTAAATGAAAAAACAAAATGTAACTTTGTGTAGGTTTCCATTAAACTTGGATAGACCATCACTCACACAAGGCAAATAAATAGAAACCTTGTTTGTATTTAAAGGGCTCGCGATACCATTTAGTATTACCTGTGTAAGGAGGAATGTAAATGTAACATCTAAAAATACTCCGGTATAGAGGTGGTCTGGAAAAATTGGATTCTATTGCACGAGAGGACTTGATGCTCTGCATGTTTTACGGGTAGTTTTTAGAAAGACAAGCCAACAGTGAGGCTGATGTCCCCCGCCGAAATTGCAAAATAAATAGATGACACATATTAATTAATCGCACATTTATTTTTTTCACTAAGTTTCATCACTCTCTATCAGATAGAATCAAGATTATCTTGTCCCAAACCATCGACAAATGAAATCGATTAGCTCTGCTTAGCTTCAGCTCGAAATGTTAATTATTGAACTCAGTCAAGACATTCACCTAATGAACATCTACATATACATCAAGTTTAAACATTCACCTAATAGACACCTATGCCATGTTTGAACATTCTACCTCAATTAGAAGGAGAGTTATTGTGTTCCAAAGTTTCTACCAATCAAATTGCTTATCACTCTGCTTACCCTCAGCAAAAAATGTTCATTATCGAACTTAGTTAAGGTATTCATATAATAAATCTATACACCAAGTTTCATCAATCTCACTTAATTAGAACTAAAGTTATCGTGTCCCAAAGCATCAACCAATCAAATTATTTATCTCTGCTTACCCTAAGCGGAAAATGCTCATCTTCGAACTCCATCAAGGCATTGACCTAATCAACACATACACCAAGTTTGAACATTCTAGCTCAATTAGGAAGAGAGTTATCGTGCCCCAAAGTATCAACCAATCAAATTGCTTATCTCTGCTTACCCTAAGCGGAAAATGCTCATCTTCGAACTCCATCAAGGCATTGACCTAATAAACACATACACCAAGTTTGAACATTCTAGCTCAATTAAAAGTTATCGTGTCCCAAAGCATCAACCAATCAAATTGCTTATCTCTGCTTACCCTAAGCGGAAAATGCTCATCTTCGAACTCCATCAAGGCATTGACCTAATCAACACATACACCAAGTTTGAACATTCTAGCCCAATTAGGAAGAGAGTTATCGTGTCCCAAAGCATCAACCAATCAAATTGCTTATCTCTGCTTACCCTAAGCGGAAAATGCTCATCTTCGAACTCCATCAAGGCATTGACCTAATAAACACATACACCAAGTTTGAACATTCTAGCTCAATTAGGAAGAGAGTTATTGTGTCCCAAAAAGTGTGACGGACAGACAGACGGACGGACGGACAGACAGACAGACGGACGGACGGACGGACGGACGGACGGACGGACGGACGGACGGACGGACAGACAGACAGACAGACAGACAGACAGACAGACAGACAGACAGACAGACAGACAGACAGACAGACAGACAGACAGACAGACAGACAGACAGACAGACAGACGGACGAACCCATTTTAATAGTCCCCTGCTTTCTTCGAAAGGCGGGGGACAAAAATTCTATTGGTAGAAGGATTAAAAAATATATATTTTACTTGAGGGGGGTTGGGGATGGTGTTATAAAAATTGACCTTCTCATTCACCCTCCCGCATAATTTTGAATTGAATGGCTCTAAGCTTTTTGTTTTTTTAATACAATTGTTCTTTGTATTTTAGTCACCTGTCTACTGAGGCCTCCAAGATGTCTGATGCTGAAAGAGATCAAATTGACAATGATGCACAGAATATCATCAGGAAATGTCAGGAATCTATTGGTATATTACGTCTTGATTCATCACAGCATCCGGTTCATCCACAGGTTAAAGAACACAGGCAGATAGTTATATTCTTAATGGGTGAATATCTTAAAGGTATGAAATAATTAATTCAGATTGTTGACATATCTCAAAAGTAAAAAAATATGTACTATTTTGATGTTTTATTGTGTAATTAAGCACAAACATAATCTTCCTGAAAAATAGGTTGGCTTGTACATAGGGATGGCAACTTCATTAATATATATTTGTCTAAGAAAGACAAAGATGGCGGTATAAAAATCAATAGACATCAATGTAATCTTTAAACTTAAAATAAGCATAGCTTAAATTATAAGGCTATTTTTTCACATTTTGACATTTGATTTGCATACTTTAGCCCCCCTTTATCAGCAGACATATTGAGCAATCTGGGACTGCTCCATAACCTCTTCTATTAAGTGGTTCACTGTTTGTATTAAATAGAGTTTCTAAGAATAAGCATTGATATGTTACATGTACACCTGTATATAGTCTTCTTTTCAATTGACAGCAAGATAAATTGGAAATACATGAAAGAACCATACTTTTAAATACAATTTCAACTCTTACCCAGTGTTACATAAGACAATTTTATCATAGAATTATTGTTGCTCTTTGAACTTTAAACTATTACATCTGATGGGGTCAATCGGTGGGGAATCTTAATGACTGCATGTGTCATCTATATGCCACAGTGCACTGTAGATTCAGGTTTTAAATTCCATCTAAAGCAACCACAATTTATTATTATCTCTTCTGTGTATACTTTGAAAAATGCATTTATTTATGCTGTAGTTTGAAATCTTAATAGAATCAATATTATGATATTTGTTTTACAGCTATATGTAAAATATATAGCGAACAGAAAGCTGTACGTGTAAAAAGAGCTGTAGATAGAAAAAATATGTAAGTATTATTTTTAATATTTATGTAGACTCAATATTTGTATATTTGCTGTATTCATGTGTTTTTGGCATGTGGATTCCTCTGCAGTTTTAAGGCTGTCATTTTGTCAATTAAAAATGTTTCTGTTTTTCATTACTTTCATTTTAATTTTTATATTCCATAAGTTCTCGACTCAAACCAGAAACTAAAAGCAGTCCTATAAAGAATACAGATCTAAGTTCATTATTAAAGAAATCTAAAGATGATACTACAGTAGAAGAAAATATAAGTTCTAATGCTAAAACACCTAATCAGAGTAAGTTGAAGATTAAATGTGGAGAGTTCATTTTCTGACAGTTTACACTGATGTTTTTGTCTTCACCTATATACACACAAAAATACAGCTAGAGCATAATATTTTGTATTATCAAGAATACATGTGTATAGCAAGTGTACGTAATTATACTTTTCTACTTGAAACATGCACTAAAAATGGGCTGTAATTTTGATACTGTCATCGTTTATTAAAGTATATGTATTTATATTTTAGGTAAGAAAGTTCCAGCACCACCAGAAAATCAACCAACATTTTCACCTGATGATGATATATCACCTGAGGAAGCACAGATGGTAAATATAGGAGGTTTTACGGGTTTCCCTTTTGACGTCATTTTCGGTCATGCGCAGACCCTGGCCTTATTCGTAGACTGAAACCCATAGGCCAGTGTGTGTTTTTTTGTGAAAATACCGTCGTACAGTAAGCTTCTTTTACATAAAATGGAACTGAACGCCATTTCTATATACATGTAAGGTTTACCGACCGATGCCAGAAAGCGATATTTACAAAAACTTCGATATAGGAAAGATACAGCAAGAATGCCAGACCCGTAATTGGCCGTTTGCAATTGAGGAAGTGTATGACTGATCAGTGCTCATGGCCCGAATTAGAATTAAGTCAAGTTTATAACGCATTTTACGGTCAAACAGATGTTATATATTAATTACGGGACTATTAACACAAAAGATTTAAATGGTCTATCCTATTTACATTCAACTGCTGTCTGGACAGTTCTTTGCGAGGTTGATATATCGTCTGCTATAGCACTGCATGCTACCCTACTCGACACAAAACACGGTACTATGTTGGTATTTGAGGCTGTCAACTTGAAAATAATTCCAGCCAATAATACTATAAATAGTATGCAATATGCAAAAAAGATTGTTTATGTGTACTGTTTGCCAATAGCTATTGTAAATTTCCCCGCGTTTAGACAGCTCTAACCAATGATAAAATAGTTGCTTGTTGCACGGGGTAAAACTTCAGCCATTTTTATAAATTCTCCTCTTGATGGGATATGAATAACAAAAAGAATAAAACAACGATCAAGTTGAATCTGTGAATATTTTTTAAAACTGTTTTTTTCTGTTAATTGTAACCACATAAATCGTCTTTTTGGCACTCAGTGAAATTTTAATCCAATCAGTTTATCTTGCCGCAACCAAGAAGACGAATGATACATTTGTGTCCATTTTATCAATTTCTAATTCAGTATTTGGTTCAGAGAACAACTGTTGAATGGAAATATAGAACTGGACTCGGTGCATTCTATACAGAATTATTTTTTACAGCGTGATTATTATTTGTTCTCTTTTTTTTAGATGTGCTACGGGTCGTGCTTAAATTTTAAAATCGTCTTGAATAATTCTTTCGTGGAACCGCAGCGTCACCCCTCTAACCCATTCTATTATTTACTCTTATGCTCTATTTCGTGGCATTTTACAACCAAACAGATGTTATATATTTATTGTTTGTAGTAAAATTAACACACAACATATAAATCGGCTTCATACAGTAATATATAGTGGTTTATGCTTTACATACAGCGGTCAACTGAACTGTGTGCGAGCTTGACATATATCGTCTGCTACAACGCAGTATTTCGTCAATAAAACGAAACAAAAATAATTTAGACACGATTTGAAATTGGTAATTTATTACGAATGCTACACGCAACTTACGACTAGTGGCATTCAAGAATACTTTTTGAATAAAGAGAAAAAGAGGAAAAAAAACATTTTCCCTAGCATTTACCATGTTAAGACCTGTGTTGAAAAAGGCCAGGCTAAAAATAGAAACCAGAAATACGTCACGCATAAAAGCTTCTATAACCTAAATATATTCTGTATATCTCATGTTCTTCATATGCTAGGAACAAAAAGTAAGCGAACCACTAAATTTGTTGTAGAAAGATAGTTTACTGGAAGAGAGTGTAGGAATGTTGCGACCGACACAGTTAATATCATGTAAGCTACCAACTGCAGCAACACACTAACAACACAGAAAATCTCACCAATATTCAATGTTTGTTGCTGTCCATGACTGGCTTTGTTAATGCCAAGTGGTAACGAAAACGTCTGGTTAGCAATTTATGTATATGATGACAAACTTGAAAGGTGCACTTTGATTTTAGGCCTGCAGATCAGAACCATTTTGCACCATTGAGTTTGAGATTCACACTGCTGTAACTCAGATGAATTCCTTCTTCAATATTGGAGAGGTAACAAAGTGTTTCCTGAGTACAATGATTCTGATGATGTTATCTTGTTGGACAGTGGTTTTACATAGTCTTTATCTCCTCTTTAAAATTGGCCATCTCACAGTGAAGGTTAACAAGAAAGATTGCTCAGATGCATTGTCACTTGTATACCTAATTATATCAATTGTTAATTGTAGTTTGAGGAGGAAAATAAAGCATTATACGACGAAATGAATAGTATGGCTCATGAAGTCAGGTTGGTACATTTTCTGCAAATAAAAGTTAGGTTATTTGCCCTTAGTTTTAAATAACATACTCAGACAGCTCTGCTGCTGGTAGGCATATTTTTTTTGTATATATGTAAACTCCATAGATAACTTCTAGAAAGAGCAAACACATCCTGCCTGTAACCAACCAAGTTACAGGTTGGACTGTGAGATATGTTCAGGTGTCGGGTTATCTCCCTTACATTGTCAAACCTCTATATTTACTGCTGTACATGTGTAACTCATATTCTCCATTATATTTTATAATCAACATTATATTGTGATTTTAGACAAATAGAAGGGAAAGTGATAGAAATAGCCAAATTACAAGAAATTTTTGCAGAGAAAGTTTTAGAACAGGTAATTATTATCCTTTATGCTATAGCTCCTTACAAAGAAACAACCTTTGAAATCATTCACAAGCAAAACATTGTCAATTGAAAGATGTGGTAGTATTGATGACAGCATTATGGAAGTCTAGTTAAGTTGATTTGTTAGAATATAAAAACCAAGTGTCAGCAGTCACCTTTAACATGTCGACCTCCTGGTCTTGAAGTATATTTATTTCATGATGTATGATTTACCTGCAGGCTAACATTATTGTTATTGTCAGTCTAGCTGATAATAAGTTTCTTTTTTACATTCAGACCATTTATTTTTAATTAATATGTTGTACATTTGTGTTATTTCCAGGAGAAAGATATAGATCATATAGCTAGTACAGCTGTTGGTACAACAGAGAATATTATAGATGCAAATGAAGAGATTCGAGAGGTGATTTAACGGTTTAAAGAAATTCTTTATTTTATCAACCATGTAATATAGACTGGGGAAGCTTAGTTTGTAAATCTTCCATATTAACCATTTTTATATACTGTTTTATGGTATGGCAATTGTGTATCCTTATTTTTTCGTGGATTAGGTTAGAACTTTGCTTGGTTTTCACAGACACTTAAAGGGCGTAAAGCTCTAACTCAATATTTGACAAACATTAATTATTGGTCCTTTCCAATCGAGTGATGTTGTTATTAACTTGAATATATGGGTTCCTGATATCAAATATTTAAGACACAAAGAACAACATCCAGGCATGTACACTATAAGCTCTTGATACTTCTGATGTAGACTAGACTAACCAGACACAGGGAACTGCCATTCAATTTGGACTGCTCACATATTTTGACAAGCAAAACTGATTAGAAATTAAAATGAAAATTTTTAAAAACATGAATGTAAATCAATGTATATACAACTATTTAATATGTGCTTTTTTACCCATTTTCGTCCATTTTAGGTTCCAAAGAATAGAGATTTAGCTCATTTAAACATTTGTATATTAAGACAGTTTCATTGTATTGAGTTTTGCCCAATTATTTAAGTGTTTTTAAAAATCTTTAGGCCAATAATTTTATGCAGTAATTATCTTGTTTTAATTATTATGTTTTCTCTCTTCTTCAGGCTATACAGAAAAAAGCTGAGTTTCGAGTGTATATATTATTTTTTCTTGTGATGTGTGCGTTGTCATTGTTATTTTTGGACTGGTATAACGGCTGATGTCGTGTGTGTATAATCTAGGAACAATTTAAAAAGACTTCATTATAATTATTCCGGAATTAGGAAGCCGCTGAAATATATGGAGGGTGAGGTACAGGCTTGATGTCCTTTAGATGAGCTGTTTTTTGTCTTGCATGATGTCAAATATTCTAGTCTTGACCCACTGGGAATTAAATTAAATACTGCCTCAAAATCATTTAACTAAGTATCCCCAGAGTTACGTCTTATAGAATAAGCCAATGTACAACTATGTCTAGTATGGTCTCTCAAAAACATATCTAAATTGGTTCTTGTTGCACAAGGTTAGTGTGAAGTTCCGTACAGAATAGTTCAAGTTTTCTATAAAAGAAATGTTCATGGTCAGCGTGGAAAAGTGGAACTAACTATTCTTATCACATGATTTTGACTTGTACAATTGTTAGTCATGAGCATTGGTAATTTCTCATGTCTGATAAATTGCTGCCTTTGATTTTTACAATATAATTTCAAATCATGAGGTTCTCTCGACCTGTCAAACTCGTGAAACACCTCTTCTTACACACGTACTCGAGGCAAATAGGATCCAGGAGTTTAATCATGACGGACAAAATACATGTAATAAAATATTACTTTTTATTATATCAAATTTATTTTTATTAAATAATCACAAGGCTTGTTAAATGATATATTGCAATCTTGAAGTACTAAATCAATACAGTAAGTCAAACCTGAGAATATTTTTTTTTTCAGATTAAAGTATATTTCTTATGACCTATAAAATAAAGTATTTCTAGACTGAAAGTAATAGTATTTTTAGATTTGAAATTCAATAAATGAAATGAAATGAAATGGGGTTTAACGTCCTACTGTTCTGCTCCTAACCTGGGCTAATGAAGACGGGCATACGCCATACAGTGCGCTATGAGGGAATTTTGCCCGGGCAGCGGCACTATCGCCTACTCTTATATTGAATTCCAACTGCCAAGGGATCTTTTACGTGCATGGCAATGTGTACACGGGACCTCAGTTTTTCATCCCATCCGAACGACTAGACAGCTGTCCTTGTCAGGCCCTCCGTCCTGGAAATTCAATAAGGTTTAATAGTTTACATGGTATCTTCTTTTAGCAACACATATTATCTGTAGTTTGAATATATTTCTCAATAGTTTGTTACGTATATATAGGCTGTTGAGAAAATATATCCTTTATATTTTTTTTATATGAAAAGTAAGATATAAATGCAAAAATTACATTTTAGTTAGTTTAACTACCTATCATGTTATATAAAAAAATAATAATTATTGCTTAGTAAAACTTGCACAAAAAATCTGTGACCCCCATATATATAACCTATAAAAGCTTCAAAATGATTAAATTGACATTAATTGTTGAAATAGTCCAATACCTAATTTTATCAGATATTGTTTTTAGATTATCAGAGAAGACACATTGTCACCACACAAAATATCAACAGTTTTATTATTGATCCTAATCAGACTGTTATTTATATCATTATAAAATACACAACTTAATGATTTACTTCTTCTAGCTTCAATTCTCTTACAGTTATATTTATATATTAAACCATATAATATAGCACACTCTACTATATATACAATTTTAATGTCAGATTTATTATGTATTAATACCACACCCTTCTTTAAAAAACAAATTATCAATGTCAAATTAATTATGTATTTTGGAAATTAAACCTATTTTTAATTAAACACCCTTCTTTCGACAAATTTTTATAAAGCAAGACCTTTCTTCAATATTATATTTCCATATATGGCTGTTTCTCTGAAAAAAAAGAAAAGAAAATATTTTCAGATGAAATTACCTTCAAATGTAATAAAGGATGCAACTATTAGAGAAAAAAAAAGAACCTCACACTTTAAAATTTGTCAGAAATTACAATTATCTCTGCTTCATGACAAAAGTACACATGCAAATGAGAAATGATATCAGGGTTCCAAAGAGTAAACATACATGTATGACATTCATCACCAAGTTACTTTTAAGGCTGTCATAAATTAAATAAATGGACAATCAATAGAGGGGTAGGATAGACAGCTGCTATTGTTAATTGTAATTCCTGTTTGAATTAGCTACTGGAATATCATGATTCTTTGAAACAGAAAACAGAGTTTGTTTTTTAAAAAAGAATTTATATTGAATTTGAACACTGTGGGTAAATTAGATTTTGTAAATATTGCTTACCCTGTATGAACTACTGCAAAAGCTTTCTTAGCTCTCTCATAAAATTCAAATCTTTCAATTTTCTCTACAGATATCTAAAAATATATACATGCATTGAAATGAGAAATGATTATATTATTATGTATATGTATGTAAGCAAATTAATTATTTATTAGAATAATATTTTACCATTACTTTTTGTAACATGAAATATTATTATTCTTTGAATTAAAAGAAATGTTATTCCCAAATATATTGTTCAAATAATTATTGATGTGTGGGATTATTTTTCAAAGTATGGCCATACAAAATAGATATTCTGATTCTCAGACAATTACATACTGGTAGATAAAGTTGAAAAAGTTTGCAAAACAACAGGCAATGCAGATATTAAACCTCAATCATAAACAAGGCTAGCACTCAAAATTAAAGAGAATCCAAAGCTAGTTAGCTATGTGACTATCCCCCTCACAGATGCTGTTATTAGAAGTTCTTGAAAGCATATACCATCATATGACACATGTCATTATGAAGCTGTGGAGGCTTAAAACTCGCTAGACTATAAATGTGCATTAATAAACCAATTAAATTTTATCCACTGGATTGGAGTCTCACACTTCTTAATATTTTTACTTGGCAAGTGAAACATATTACTTCTGAATCCAATAATCAGTATTACAATATCTTCCATGAGCGCCTCATGTTCTGTACATATCTACAATGCATATATTTTGGGAATTGGCCTCACATTCTGTGGATTTATGCATGGTTCATGTTCTGCATATTTTTACATGTCTTGTGTTCTGCACAAGATTTAAACCCCATTTCATTTCATTTCTGCACAAGATCAATAGATTTGTAAAGTACGTTTTGCCTGTTTTTATAATTTCAATTCTTTAGAACTACTATATTCAGCTGATGATCAATTGATCATGCTCAGAGAGTCTTGGGTATATGTCACACCTCATGCATTATGATTGACTTATAAAGACCACTAGTGCTTCCAAAGTTTCAACAGAAAGCTGTCAGCTATAAATAAATGAGTAAGGCACTGGATCGCTAACCTGTATGTCCCGGGTTTAATCCCAGTGTTAGCTGGGAAAGTTCCTCAGGATTTTCTGGCGAGGTTTCAACTTGTCAGGTTGCTTGACGGAGGGCCTGTCAATGAACAGTGTCTAGTCATTTGGATGGAAGTAAAAAGCAAAGTTCCGTGTACTCAATGGCATGTACATAAAAAAAAACCCTGACAGTTAGAATTCAATTGCTGCAAAATTTCCCCCATAGCCGACTGTATGGAGTATGTCCGTTTCCATTAGCTTGGTACATGCAGAAAAGTAGGATGATACCTACCTCTTTCCCTTCTGATTTATTAATCAAATTGAAATAGGTATCCCATATTGGTGGTTTTGTTATTCCCTTATCTTTATCTGATGGTACTGGATCCATTACACCTACCTTCAAGAAAACATTAAAATATACTGTATATGCAAGAGATGGATAGAGAACAAGCTAAACAAAAATAGATTTTTTGTATAATCAAGGGCCATAATTCAGAAAGTTAGGATCTGATATGCGCAAATATCGACAGGAACCAAGACTGTGACTTCTAGAGGGTCCACAACCTTCATATACCATATTTTTACGCTATTCACGAAATTCGAACCCAAGTATTATTACAGTGTAACAGTGATATATTCAAACCTTTTTTTTTAATAGGATAATAATTGGGATCTCTAGAGGGACCACAAGCTAAAATCGCGATGTTTCGTACAATCAGGGGCCATAATTCAGGAAGTTATGATCCAATATGTGCAAATATCGAAAGGAATCAAGATCTTTGAGTTATAAACATGCATTTTAGGTTTCATCAAAATCTGATGAAAATTGTGATTTCTAGAGTGTCCACAAGCTAAAAATGTGATTTTTTTGTACAATCAGGGGCCATAATCCATGAAATTATGGGCCGATATATGCCAATATAGAAAGGAACCGAGATCTTTGGGAGATAGACCTATATTTTACATTTTGTCAAAATCGAATAAAAATAGTGACCTGTACAGTGTCTACAAGCAAATTGTGGACGGACAGGGGCGACTGTGTCCGCATGAAAATGTGGGCGTATGAAAATATTCCTGATTGCAGGTAAGAATTCTGTTGATTTTAATTTGATGTCATTAATTCTTGCTTTAAAAGATTATAGGCACACTGTTTCATAAATTTCCAATACTACCTTGGAACCAAGACGTTTTGGTTGAAATCTAAAACTGAGATATTTTTCAGATACTTGTTGTTTTCATTAGTCAATAATAGCACTTCTCTGGGCCCCAGCAACTTGAAAATGGTATAATTTATAGTTTTTGGGCTGGGTTTAGGGCAAGGTCAGATTCTATTTGACTTAATCAGTGAGAAGTTTATTAATTACCAATAACATAGAGAATATCATTCATCAACCCATAAAATACAATGAAATCAGCAATTTGATTATTGACCCAAATCAAGACAGTTTAGTGACAAATAAAAACTATCCTGAGAAAAACTTACAGGTTGTGGTACATAAGGATCTAAAGGTAACAACTGCAATATACCTTCTAATAGTTGAGGTATAGGTAAACCTATAAATAATAATAACATTTACAATATTACAACATAATATAATTATTAGATAATAAGAGAGAGAGACAGGGAAATGGTATTTAACATCCACTCACCACAAACTAAATCATTTCGACACTAACATATGGTTCAATTTTTATTTCAATAATTTGCTTGCGTGTAGGGGTCTTTAGCAGTGGAAGAAAACCCACAAGGTGGGACACACAACCCCCACTCCTTGTCTCGTATAAGCGGGGGATTGAAACCACGCCACTTGACTCAATGACAGATCTCATGGTTCCCGGTGCACAAAATGGAACAAAGGAAAACTTTGCTGTAATACATGAGACAATGAAAACATAACGGAACATAAGGTGATAATAGGAAATCTACTTTATTTTGCTACAATATGTTTATTTAGTTCAAACTTAGGGCCCCAGACCCCTATGATACCCACCTGGATCTGGCACTGTGAAAATCTATTTAGAAATAAGGCAATTACGAAATGGTAAACATGCTATCATAATCCCTTTGCATTTAAAAACTGCTTACATATATATATTGTAAGAAGAATTGTATTACCCAGACACGAGACCCTCATTTTAAAATTTTGCATGTCGGTCTAAATATTGCTGTCATCTGATCATGACATTTAGGTCAAACCTAAAAATTTTATCATTTAATTCATATTTACTTAATATTAGTAGGAAATTGTGTGTGTGTTTTATTCTAAACAGGACAGTCGATAGAAAAATAACCTTGGAGGTTGCAAGAAATATTAATTTCTTTTCTCTCTTGCGAGTTGTTTGTTCAACACACTTAGGCCCTATGATATTTGACAAGGCTTCCTTTATTTATATTCAAGACGTTCTGTATTAAATTGTTAAATCTCCAGTACTCTGAACAATGCATATAAATCTTTAATATGCATTATATATGATTTAGATAAAGAGCTCACCGTTCTTGCCATAATAGTTCACAAATAGGTAATAAAAATTGAATAATTGAAAATTACTTCTTTAGAGAGGTTAAATATTTTCTAACTTAAAATGCTATATAAATTATTATTTAGACATTTATTTACCGGTACATGACAAGACTATAATGAACTCTCTAGGCCATCGGAGGGTAGAGATATTCAATGGATTAGAAAACCGGCATTATTTAATAAATTAACATTTAAGTTGATAATCTAGACTTTGTTTATTATCCTATCAATGCCAATAAAGAATTGAGTCTCTTTAGGTTAAATCTTGTCTAAATTTCAATCAAACATTTATAACTTTAATAACTTCATTTTTCATTTTCTATTTTTAAATGATTATAACACGAACAGCCATCTCTTGATCTAAATCTTACATAATGTATCTTGAAGCAAATAATGACAATAACTTTTGTTGACAAAGCATTCACAGGCTTCTACAAAGCAAGCACGGAACAGAAATTTGAGATAGTTTTTCATTTCATTATTCTTCACAATGCATAGAAATTTCAAGCATAACTTGCATCGCCAGAGGGATAATCAGATTGTACAAAAGTTAACAAGGACAATAACAGAAATTGTTGAAAATCAATAGGATTCTTCATCTCACTGATATGAACAACATCATACAAAATCGGATGATAAATATTTACAAATAAAGAGTGTTTCCAAAAAATTGAGGACTGATGAACAGATTGGCGTGATAACAACTCAAGACCACATTTAAATTTTCGGCATATAAAATTGACTAAAATAGAAGTAGGATGCAATTATACGTTACCATCACATCTAACCAACTTTGCACGATTGCATTTACATATTGCTGAAGATGGGAAGTGAGCATCAGCCAATACTGAAAAAGACAAGTGAGACTATTTTCAATGGCAAGAAACAAATGAAAAGATAAGTTGCCAGACAACAAAACATACAACCACAGCAGATAAGTCGTCCCAGAAGTCCAAAAAGGTTTTCAAATATATTCATTCTTTTGTAGGTAATAGGAGCATTTACAAGACAATAAAAACTGATCAAGAGTAACAACCTATAAAGCAATTATGAGAAGTAATATTATTTCGTTTTGTTCTGTGTCTAGAATATATTTTGGCCTTTGGGCATTTGATATTAACATGAATTTAAAAAATCTCTTCTTTACCTATATCATCTCCATGTCCCATATCAGCCAACACATATAAGAGTTCAGGAGATAATACCTTTGGTATATTCTTTAATGGCATCTTGATAAATTGTTGCTTTATATTATACTGGAAAATAAATTGTTGCTTTATATTATACTGGAAAATAAATTATTGCTTTATATTATACTGGAAATAAAATGCTTTGTAAAACATGTTTGAACAGGTTCAGATTAAAATTTGCACTGACCTAAACAGAATTGGATTTGGAATTTGTGTACTGGTATCAGAAGAGCCATAATAGTGATTTTTTTACAAGAGCCAAAATGATTAGGTATCAAGTAAAACTACAACACCAACATTTGTGTTCATAAACACCAATACCAAGTGGCTTTGTATCCCATGTGAAATTCAAGGAGAATAACCCTAACCCCTGGCTTCTTTATCCAGCTGCTGTGGATGCTGAATGTTGACAAATTTTCAATTTAATATATTGTTTTATATTTTGAATGGAACTGAAGCATTTTTGGAATGATATTGCTAAAACCTTTAGTTTACAACACTGCAGTTTGCAAGTCTGAAAATCCCTCAATCAAATGCTCACAATCATACTCTTTAAAGTCTCAATACCACTCTTGTTGTAACTGATGTCCCAATCTTTATTCTGGTCAACAAATTTGACTATATTACAATATTCCAATTAATTGGTGATACAAATTTCATCTTAACACACCTAATTTAAAAAATTGGAAAAGTTCAACTAAATGATTTGAAAAGCCTAACGTAAACCTTTTCAAATGTGACTTGGATTTAAAAATATTTTAGAAACCTCTGGACAAGTAAAATAGGATGTAATGGATAATTTACACAACAGGTAGGCCACTTAAACATCTAGTACTTAGAATAGGGCTATTATTTATTTTCTGGGGCTGTCAAACCAGCAAGAGTGTTATTGTCCCTTTAAAGGAGTTAAGTCTCCAACTCAATATTTTCCATAATATTTGAAATTAAAAACTCAAATTAGAATTCAATACTGGTCCATTTCAATCCATATTGATGTTGTTATGATCCTAATATCCAATATTAAAGAAACAATGAACATTTTAAAATATGGTACGTACACGAGTACCATATAGTTTCGGGCGCAAAATCAATGAACAAAGAAAAACACAATCTGATAAACACAAATCCTATTTCATTTTTATAGTTCAAAATTTCATTTTAATTGTCTTTTCTACAATAGGATCTGGAAGAGTTGTTATATTACCAGCGTTTTAATTGGTTGAAGTTGGGGATTAGCCAATGAAACTATCTGTTACGGCGACTTCTTGGTGTTCTATGCATGGAACTGTGGGTAAACCCCTAGAAACGTCAACGCTGATTGATTAATCAATGTCCGACGTAACAGGTCAAAAGCCGCTCATACGACCCCCGACGCGACCTTCCAGAACAACTGGTCGGATCTTCATGTAGTGTAGGCCATCAAAAGTATAAAAAAACAGAACAAAATATAGATCTGTATTTTAAACAGATTGAGAAAAACATATCCTAAATTACAATGTGACAGTAAATAGTAATGGTTGATAAAATACCCGGTAATAATAAAAATCGTTTATTTGAACGAACAAGGTTGGTGTTAACACTGTCGTTTAGTTTGGACTGTTAACGTATTTCACAGAACATAATTGATTAGAAATTACAAATTGTTTTAAAAATTGAATATAAATCACTTTATATACACTCATATTACGATACATTAATATGTGCTTTTAGACCCATTTAATGATTTTGCCATCATTTAATGCCGGTTCCAAAAAATAAAGCCATACGCCCTTTAATTACCGGTAATTTCTATGCCATATTCTTTAACATCATTATTTGCTTATCTAGAACAATACTAAATGTATCTAGAATACACAATTGTAAGATAAATATCTTACAATGTTAATAATTGAGAAAATCACACTGAAAGAAGCAAAAATAACCTTACTTGACAAATGTGAAAAGTGGCAGTCACATGATTGTCATGTGATCAAGGTGAAGTTCGAGCGTTGTGATATACTGTGTTTTGTCGGGTACAAACTGGTTCGCAGTGTGTCATACTCATAGAGTTAGAAGAGAGAAGAGAAATGGGGTGTAACGTCCACTCGGCCAAACTAGGTCATTTCGGAACTAACATATGGTTTTAATTTTATTTCAATAATTTGCTTGCTCGTAGGGGTCTTTAGCAGTGGGAGGAAACCGGAGGACCTTGACCCACGAGGTTGGACAGGCGACCCTACTCCTTGTCACGTACAACCGGGGATTCGAAACCACGCCAGCTGACTCAATGGCAGGCCTTATGATAAAGCACGCGTGTGCTAACCATTCGGCATCCACCCCCCCCACCCCGCCGAGTTAGAAACATATAACTCTATGGTCATACTCTATCAAACCAATGAAATAGAAATCAAAATTAAATAAAGCTTAGCTTCCCACTGCGCTACGCCGACTGGGCTAATGAAGATTGACGTTCCTGTACAAGGTGGTGGAAGGGCACGTACCAGCCACAAATCTTGAACTTGAACACTATATACAACCACACAGATCTAAACGCACTATATCTAAGAAATGCCAACAATATATACTAAGCAGCAAAAGAAACGTCAGGTCGGTATGTTACTCCGAATAACGTCGTACCGAGACCAAACACAGCCGATGGTTTGCGCCAGGCTTTTCTGAGAGTGTGGTTCCAGTTGCCAATGGCGTTCATCAATCGTCTGGTCCACTCCATGTACAGACGCTGCGCTGCTGACTGCTGTTATTGACACTCGCGATGGTCACACCAGATACTGATGTATAGACTGTGTGCAGACTCTAAACCTTTTTGTAATGTCTTGGAATTGTGATGAATTAATCACTAATGTGTCAACATACTGTTCTCAAAAGATTTCTTTGACCCATTAAATAAGTCGTTTTCTAGAATGATTTGGTTAAAGTGCCTCTGACGGTTTTTTTTAACATCACTGGGTATATCTACAAATGAAAGAATGACGAAGTTTGCTAATTCATTACGAAACAGTGCAGAGTTCTGCTCATTCGTATATGTGGGTTCTCGATCATAGGTTTTAAGGTAGGGGTACCCTCGAAAATGACACGGACATCTATCAAAAAAAAATAATTTATAGATGGCCCTGACAAACTGAGGCCAACTACCAGTTTCATTTATTTGACTTATAAATTGACTACTTTATGCTTGTCTGAATTTTTACCTTTTAAAGGAAAAAAATAAATTTAGCATTTAGCAGTACACTGATTTTGGTAAACATTTTGGGTGCGCTTCCGTATGATTCAGTTGACCACGTTTTTTTCATAACTTGACTGCACTATTATTCCAGACCACGTTGGCGTAATCAAAATATAGAATAAAACTTTTTTAAAAATATCATCAAGTGGTTTTCGCGAGATTCCGTCATGTATTTGAAACTACTAAAGCTCTGAATCATCTTACGGGTTTTGGCAATAACATAATTAACCTGGGATGATAATTTACAACGTTTATGAAAAAAATTTCAGAGATATCTATATTCGTCCACATCATTAGGTTCAGTCCTATTAAATTAAATTCAGGAAACCTTGGGGGAGGCCTGAAGATATCGTTTTTATACGCCAACATTTTCACGTGGACGTATATTGTCGTCGTCACTGTCCGTCCGTTGGTTCACATTTGTTTGTGAACACCCTACGGGTCACAGTTTTTATCTGATTTTGACGAAACTTAAAATATATGTATAGGCTTATATCCCAAAGTTCTCGGTTCCTTTCGATAATCAGCAGTTTGGAACGTAACTTCCTGGATTATAGCCACTGACTGTTCGAAAAATAGCGTTTTTAGCTTGTGGGTCCCCTAGAAGTCACAATTTTTATCCAATTTTAAAAACCGTTTAAATGTATCACCGTTGAGTTCGAATTCGTAAAAATCGGACCGAAACTGCCCGACAAAATGACTGCTACTTGCACACAAATTCTGTAAAAGTATGTAATGCAAGGTTGTGCTTGGGCACTCTAGAAGTTTGTTTTATCCGATCTTGTTGAAACTTGTTTATATCCAAAAGATCCCGGTTCTTTTTAATATCAGACGATAACTTCCTGGATTGTACAAAAAATCACATTTTATTTTAGCTTGTTCTCTACCCGTCTCTTGCAAAATATGGGCGTATCTTGCCTGACAACCGCTGGTTATGTCAGAATATCCACCTTTAACAACTTCGTGTTTTAGGTTTTGTAAATAGTTTTCGATAAGTGAAAGTATTTTAGGCTTAATGTCCGTGGCATTTAATTTCTGAACTAAACCTTTGTGTCTTCCGCGTTCAGACGCCTTGCAGTGATGTCAAAAGTACCGTGATAAACGGACTTGGAAATTTGATTATATATATCTAAAAGTTGGTAGGCTGTCGAGTTGTTTGGTCTAAATCCGGATCTGAAACATTTAATATATCATGAGTGAGAACAAAATTATGAATAAACTTATAAATAGTCCTCTCGAATACCTTTCTTAAAGTACTACGCAAAGACATTGGTCGATAGTTAGAACAACCATGCGCATCGCCCTTCTTGAAATCGGAACAGCATAATTTGCTATTTTCCATAAGCCTGGAAAAGTTACACTTTGCTGACAAATAGTGAAAATTTTACTTAGTGGAACGGCCAGACTATCTGAACACGCTTTTGATATTTTGTTATTAATAGATAAGGGCCACTATCTTTATTTGTGGACAATGAATATCGCAGACAAGATTAGATGTATATTTATTGGTTGTTCAATTTTGTAATCATTAAAAGTAATTGTTTTTCGGGGGGTGGGGGTGCCTGAATATACTTGGACCCCCCCCCCCTCCCACCAAAACAAATTTACATAGTAGGCCCAAACTCCTATTTATTTACAACAATTAATAGGATTAGTTAAGATTCTATCTGTATAAAACCTGTACATATCCCAATATGGTTTATACTGCTAAAATAAAACACAGCGATAATCATCCTGGAAACATGTGTGAAGTGAAAAGTACCTGTGTTCCATAAAATTGTGTCTAGTTAGCCTGTCAGTAATATTTTGTTAATTTTTTTCGGCCACTTATCAGAGTGAATCGCATGTAGGTACCCCAAAACATAACCGCCTAAACCAAATATTTATCGCCAGCAACGTATCCATAATGCTTTTGCACGCGGTGTCTTGGTAGACAGCATGGCCACATGGTGTTTGTTTATATTTTTTAGGGGTTTTAAAAAATGGGTTAGGGTTAGGGTTAGGGGTTAGGGTTGCGCCCCCCCCCCCAATATATATTTCACGGCTACGCCTCTGCCAGCCGTATGCCCTATTACATAATATCAGTTTGTGATAACCACAACGATGTATTACTTATCCATGTTTCAGAAAATGTGACACTGCGACATTGACAGAGCACGTAAAACTCCCTGGAATGCTAACAAAGTTATTAAATTTTAATTTAAAATCTCTTGTCATGCCCTTGATTGGTTTTGTCATGATAAATAAACTTTTAGGTTAGGTTCTGGGTTAGGGCTGATCTTTTCCACTTGGCAAGGGGAGGGGTGTTATCAGTACGGTTTCTAAGTTTTTTTAGTTTTTTTATAGGATTTTATAGGATCAGTGGGCTGGTTCTAGGGGCACGAATATTGGGTTATGTTCCGGGTTAGACTTGACTTGACTTCGTCTTTTATGTTTTTCACGAGCGTTTCTATAATTTGGGTTGGACCTATGAGGGTTTATTAGATATTTTTTTTTGTTTTTGAACTTTCTTTTTTTTTTAGATATATGAATTTTTAAACTAAGAAATTCGGGGGTAACGAAGTTTTATAAGCCGTCCTTGAAAATTTGAAGACAATCACTGAAACATACATTATGTAAGGGATAAATCAGTCTATTGCGTGCCTTTCTTTGGGCCTTAAATGTTACATAAATTATAAATTAGACATTCATAAACATGACAAGGCCATAATCAACGCCCGATATTGATAACTTCGCTCAAGATAAAGTAATTTGAATGAAATTTTCAATATATTCACTTTGCATTATCTATTTTTGAAATGTTATAGCGAGAACGACCAGCTCATTATCCAAATCTTACATAATGCCCCTTTAAATGGCCCCTGAGATCCACGAATGTCTGATTTTCGAGTTGGGTTTTTGCGAGGGTTTCAATGATATAAAGTTGTTGGGTGCTGGGTTATGTTAGACGTCGACTTAGGTTTTGGATTACATATTAATTAAATAGGGTTTTGATGTTTTAAGATGGATCTGTAATGGTGTTGGGTTTGTAATGGATTAGATGGTTTTAGAGATTTTAAAGTTAGGGTTAGTATTAGGTTTCGGTTCGATTTTAAATTTTGATATTTTCATGAGAGTTTCAATGATTTAAGTTCGGACTGTAATGGTGTTTGGTTTAAAATAGTTTTTAGGGTTTGTTTTTATAACCATTGATTTTAGAGATTCAGGGTTAGTATTATGTTTGGGTATTTTTTGGGGGTGTCTGTGATTAAACTGTCCAAGGTTGCATGTTTCTACGGGAACACAATATATTTAAACACCCGTAGATTGTGCTCCAACAGTAGTCTTAACCCTAAATAAAATGTAAACATAAGATTACAAACAAAAACATTGGTAATTGGTGAAGTAGTAATTAGTAAGTAACATTTTCAGTTTTGTGCAGGACGATTGGTCTTTAATATGATCATTTGGAATAATTTTATGACAGATAAGCAAATCATAATTCTATTTGAATGATAATATTACTCTATCTTTAAATAGAACGGGATTCAAAATGAATCATTTTATTTTCTGTTGGTGTAGTTGTGATTTGTAATCGGAACTTGAGAGACGATTACCGGTTAAAATTTAAATCGTGACGATTAACCAATACAATTCACAGATCAATTTTAAGCATCTTTAAATTGATTTCCAAAGATAAGGGTATTTATTTTATACTATACTTAGAACAGGTGAGTGTCGGGACTGTCTTCACTCTCGTGTTTACATTAAACCCCCCA